GTGAAGCTGAATTGAAGCAGCGATTCCCTCGTTTGGTGTTAAGATGGTGCTGGGCTGACCCTGCTTGGTGAAGAGCAGGTATTGCATCCTGTGGTATGAGCACAAACCACTTAGGCGTGGATTTTTCTTCCTATTTAATTAGCTTGCCTGGCTTTAGCAAGAGATTTCAGACAAATGCCTCAGCTCCCTTGTTTTGGTGGGACAAGGAAGTCTCAGGGATGCCTCTTTGTCTCTTCCCACGTTGACCTCTGCTGGGGAGTGCTTGGGAAGCATTGTAGGACCGGGATGCAAACCATGTCTTCTCCTGTCAGCACAGGGGCAGACCTCTGCCTCCTCCCTCAGGTTGTTCAGAAAAGCTCCCACCACCTGTGTAACCAACCACAGGGCCTGTGTGGCCTTTGTTCTCTGCTCAGAGATTTTTACCTGCCAGTTTAATTATGATTTCTTTCAAGGACACACAGTGTGCAAGGGCAGATTTTACATGAGCCCATGGAGCTGGCGTGGGTTTCCCCTCAATTTTGGAAGATTGCTCCAGAGTCTGCCAACTTTTACCTTGGATTTCATGCAGGAAATGACCCTGCTACCAGTGTCCACCATGGTAGGTAAAACTGCAGGATGTGAATTCAGGTGAGATGCTGAAAGGGAGATGGAATTGGTACTGTAAGTTGTTCATGGTGGGGTTTTAAAGAGGCAGCACTGTGGTGAGAGGACAAGCAAAGCCCGAGGGTGCCTGTCTCCTTGCTTCACAAGATTGTAAGAAATGGAATAGCTGAGGACACATAATTAGTCATCTTTGTTTATGTGTACCAGGACTGCACTGTCTCCTGGGACACGCTGGCCTCACTCAGTGTATCCCAGTGAAGCAGAGGATCTCATGGGAATATTTAGCTTCATCTGCATGTCCTTGGCAGTGCCTGAGGGGAGCTTCAACCATGAGGATTCAACATATATTTATAAGTACCATGTATTCCAGAAATAACTGTTAGCTACCAATCTGTCCTGGTGCAATGCTGAAAACAGAGCAAAAATAAAAATATGTCTTATTTTTTAAAAATAGAGATGACAGCCCTGAAAACTTACTGGTTCTGCAGCAGGTGTAGCATTCCCTGTGGTTATACCCTGTTACATCTGGGCTCCAGACTCCTCTGAGCTGCCCAAGGGCTTTTGCAGCATTCATGCTGTGATTGGGATGATAAAACTCTCTAGGGAGAGGAAAATCAGGGCAGGCAGGGAGAGTCATGGAGCTGGAGCTTGTACCTAATTCCCTTCCTCCTGTGACTGCATATGGGCTCCCTCCATTGCTGCAGGAGTGCAGCTGGAGGTGAGCAGTGCCATAGGCATGTCCTGCAAAAGTCACCTGCACCCTGTTAAACCAAATGCTGTGGAGTATTCTCCTGCTGCACTGGCCCCTGGTTTAATTCTCCAAATGTCAAACTACCCAGCGCTCGAGGAAGCCCAGCCTCTCCAGAGGCTGTGGCTCTGCCTTGCTGATGGGGTTTGTCGTTGCTCCTCTCCTGGATGGGATTGAGCTGGGTGCCAGGGGCATGTTGCCCTGCCACCCCACCTAGGACTCCCCTGGACTTGATTTCCAGACTCGCAGGGGATGGAGGGGAGATGTCTGCTGCTCTTTCTCTTGCTCACTAGGTGGCATGACACTGAAATGCTGGAGCTGAGCTGTCCCGTTGCACCAAAAGGATCGCTCTCTCTCTTCCCTGGATTTGTCACTCTCTATGGCATCCCTTTCACCAGATCTCTGCTTCTCATCAGGGCTTCAGTACTTTGTCTCCTGCTCCAGCATTAGCCTTAGGAGTTATCCAGGTTTCCCCTGCCCACTGTATGCCAGGAAAACCTTCTCATTTGAGGGCTGAACATCCCTTCCATGGGGTCTGCTTCTCCCTGCTACCGTGCAGGGTGGGTACAACCTGCTGCCAGGCCTGCTGTCATGGGTGGCATCCACACCACGCACCTAAAACCTGCAATACAGGGGTAACAGCAGTGGAAAATTGTTCCTGATGACAGCTAAGAATCAATGAGATCCAGCCCCAGTGAAATGGTAGGAAACTACTGCTCTGATGGGCTTTAGCTGCAGAGATTTGCCCTCTGTTGGGGTAGGAGCATAAGTTTTGACTAATCTTTGTGAGGAAGCTCAGGAAACATGGATGCATTTGTTCTGCACACAGGGAGGACCAGGACCATTTAACCACTTGGCACACACTCTTAATTTTCAGATTGAAAAGCAAGCAGCAGTAGTGGGCTCTCCATGCCAGGATGACTGCAAATAGCGTTTCCTCTGCAATTCGGGGCTGACAACGGGGCACTGCTTTCTCATTCTATTCCATCTCTGACACCAAGGAAATGTCAGGGACCACACAGCTGTGCCCAAACAGCTGGAGTCTGCTTAGAGCCATGCAGAAACCCATTTGCACATCTGAGCTGATGACTGGCTCTTCAGAAGTTATTTGCCCTCTTGCTTTACATTGCTCAGCTGATCCTACCAGAGAGAAGGGAGAGTGCACATGCTTGACCCTTGAGTAGGTAGTGAATTCTCCCGTACAGTTATTTTATTTGGCTTAACAACACTTCAGCCTCTGGTTAGGCAGCAAGAGGTGACTTGTTTCTCCTAAAACTCCACTCAGTTGCACCTGTACCACCCAGCTTTATTGTGGGACATGCTACTGCCAGACCTCTGCTGCTCCTGAAGCCATATCACTAGAGGTGTGGGCCACGCATGACATTCCCAGGTCATTCACAAGCCCCTCATTTGGGCTCCCTTAGCGAATGCTTGGCAGTTTCCTTGACAAATTATCGAGGCACACTAGAGCCCAAGCATCTCCACAGTTGCTTCCCAGAGTGCCTCCCTCGGGAGGTGATCTGGTCAGCATGCAAAGCCACTCTGCACTCATCTCAACAGCTCTCATCAGACTTGTTAATTAAACACAGGAGCCATTTTTCAGCATTAGCTGTGGCTGTCTCTGCTTGTTCCTAGGTGCTCATTAGCTGTCAGGCTGCAGCCGCTGCCTGGTGCTGTTGGGGCCCAGGAGCAATGGAGTCCCTTCACAGGTCACAGTGCTGGGAAAGGCCATGCAGATGCTTAAGTGCTTCTGTGACTTAGTTTATTCTTTTAGCATGTGAAGACCAGTAACTGTTTCATTCCTCTCTCAATCTGCTTTCTCTGATGTTCCACATCTCAGTGTGCACTCCTTCTCTTACCAACCTGAGACATAGCTGCTTTGGATGTTTTCCTCACCATCCTTTGGAGGACCTCTGCATTTTTCAGGGCTTTTAAAACAAGTATAACTCTCTCTGCTCCAGCCTGGGCAGTCCACACAAGGTCAGAAGCTGCAGTTCTGCTGCCTGTTGGCACTATTCCAGGTTGTTGATTAGCCTCAGCACCCCTCCTGAATGTCAGGGCTTTCCTGAGAGGAGAAGGAAGGGAGGACTCTACAGGTCCTATCTATGGCCTCCTGCCTGCCTACCTTCACCACATGTCTGACTGAGGAGTGATGACTGAGACAGGGATGGGAGCAATGTGCAGCTGGTCCACATGTAAACCAGCCCTGAGTCTTCACACCAGGAAGCACCAGGGAGGTCATCAGTAGCATGATGTACCCTTCAGGCAGCCTAGCAACCTTCCTGCAGCCAGCCCTGCAGGGGCACCGTGGGCTAGGGCTTTGCTGAGGGGGAGCAGGATGAAGATGAGCCCTTTGGGAGGGGCAATAAAGCACTGGCAACCTGCCTGCACCTCCATTAATTCTCTAGGGTGGTTGTAGCAAAGTTAATAGTGTTTAAAAAGAGCCACATTTAAGGAGCCGCTAAGGAGTGGGATGAGTTGTTTATGATTAAATTAAATTCATATGAAAACTAATGACCTGCCAGTGTAAGCCTTGAGTAACTTTATAATGTAATTAAAAGCCCAACAGGGAAGAGAGCTGTGGTTATGCCACGTGTTGAGGAGCCACTGGGAAAACGGGGGCCAGGGGTAGTGCTGATGCAGAGAAGCGCCTGGTCACTGCCTTGTCTCCTTTGCTGGCCCAAGGACAGAGCTGGGCACGGAGCATGTCAGGAGGGGTGAGCTGCCGGGGAGGAGAGGTGGATGTGGTGGCTCAGCTCCTGGCTCCCAGGGGTAGAACCACAGAATGGTTTGAGCTGGAAGGGACCTTAAAGATTATCTAGTTCCAATCCCTCTGCCATGGGCAGGGACACCTTCCACTAAACCAGGTTACTCCAAGCCATCTAACCCAGCCTTTAAGACTTCCAAAGATGGGCCATTTACAGCTTCTCTGGGCAACCTGTGCCAGGGCCTCACCACCCTCACAGTCAAGATTTTCTTCCTAATAGCTAATTTCAGCCTACTCTCTGTCAGCTTGAAGCCATCCCCCCTTGTCCTGTCACTACATGCTCTTGCAATTAGTCTCTCTATGCAGGTATGTGGGTTGTCCTGGGCAAGGCAGTTCTGCTGATTTGACCACACCAAAAGCCAAGACAGACTTCTTCCTGCTCATTGCCTGGATCCTTTAGGGTTGTGGTTATTGGTAGCCAAGCCGGAGCCAGGGGGCCGCTGTGATGGGACACGAGCGCGGTGAAGAAACAAGAGCTGGTGATGGAGCGCACGCACAGGCAAGCGGGGCAAGCCCCGACCCCTCCAGCCCCTCCAACCACGTCCCCGCGAGGGACAGCACTGTGCGCTCAGGCACCGCTGGGCTCCGAGACGGAGCGGGGGCACCGCGGGGCGGACCCGCGGGGCTGGACGGTCCCTGCCGGCGGAGACGCGCGGGGCGGGCGCTGCCGGCAGCCCCTTTAAGCGGGCGGCGGTGGGGCCGCCCCGCCGGCCGGGATAGGCCGGGGCGGGCCGGGGCCGCCTCCCGCCCCCGGCAGCGGGCGGCGCGGCGGGGCTCGGCTGGGCTCGGCTCGGCGCTGCAGGCTCCGGTCCCGGCTGCGAGCGCCAGTGCCTCCCCCGCGCCTCCGCCGCTCCCGCGGGCTGCGAGGGGCCGAGCAGCGGCATGCCCAGGCGGAGCATCGCGGAGGTGAAGGTGCTGGACGTGCAGAAGCGGCGCATCCCCAACAAGCACTATGTGAGTGGCGCGGCTCCGGGCGCCCGCTCCGCCGAGCCCGGCCCTGGGCAAACAAAGGCCGGGCGCTGCCGGCCCGCGGGCGGCCCCGCTCCCGCACGGAGCTCCGGGAAAGGGAGGAAGGAGGAGGAGGAGGAGGAGGAGGAGGAGGGCGGCAGCGCTGCCGGGTCTGCCGCTCCCACCCCGGCGTCTCCCGTGCGGGTCAGTCGGTGCCCCCCTGCCAGCGTGGGGATGTGCCGCCTCTTCCCCCCAGACCCCGCTCCCGGGGCAGCGCCGGTGCCGACCCTGCGCGGGACCCGCCGGGGGACTCCCGGGGGCTTCGGGCGGGGGTCGCTGGAGGCGCTCCCGGGGCACCGCGCACCGAGGAGGCGGCCCCGGGCACCGCCGCCGAGCGCCTCCGCTTCGGTGCGGGAGCAGCGCTTGGCAGAGGGGACATGGGACCTGTTGGCCGCGCAGTCCTGGGGCGAAGGACCACCTGGCTCCTGCATTCTGCGTCCTGGAAATGCTCTATCCCTGTGAGGGATCGCTCGTGTCCCCTGCACCCCTGCTGCGTGAGCTGCCCAGGCAGCGCCTTCCTGCGTGCTCCAGGGCATCTTCCAAACTGTTGTGGGTTTGTCTGTTTTTGAAAGTGGTTTTCTTTTTTTTTTATTATTTAAACTTTGGTGTGTTTCCAGGCATCCGTGGAGAGCTGTGGGTGAATCCTGGCAACAACCGTAAAACAAAGACCAAAATGTTCTTTCTGCCCCATTTGCCCTAGACCAGGGTGACCCAGTGACACGCTGCTCATGGTGCATTTTGGTTGTGCAGATGTGGTGTTCACTCTGACTGGAGTGTGTTGCGTCAGAAGAGCCGGGGTCTCACAGTTTTTGGGAGATCAGGGGCTTCTCAAGCTCTCCTCAGCTGGTTTGTGTCAATGAGCAACAGTTGGAGGAAAGCTGAGGGCAGGTCAGCTCTAGGAGGGGAGAGTAAGGGGGGCTGTTACCCTCTCCTTGCATTTGGGGATGTAGTGTGGCTGCTGCTGCCTCAACCCCTTATCACCTCTTCTTCCTCTCCTGCCCTGCCTGTAGCTTTATCTGGCCCCAGCTCCAAATGTGCCCCTTTTCCTGCTCTGTCCATCCCAGCCTTACTCGTTGTGGCTGTGTTAGGCACCCGATCTGGAGGAGCATGTACGTGAGGAGGTTTGTGAGCTGCGTACGCTTCTGTTTGTCTTGGCGGATCTGTTGCATCGCTGTCAGGTCCCGGAACAGGGCTCAAACGGGATCGCCTGCAGCTGCTCCTCTGCTTTCCCTTTAGACCCTCTTGTACCCTTGCTAGGCCTGGAGTCTCTCTGCACCCCTCCAGGGCAGTGTCCCCACATTTGGGACATGCACCCCAAGTGCTGGACACAATTTGTTTTGTGTACTGTCCCTGCTCACTCTCCACCCGCAGTGTGAGTCAGGTGGAGTTGGGCATAGCACAAATAATCCCTGTGAGGCTGGAAAACTGGGACAGAAATGTTTTCTGAGAAGAGAGCTGTATGGTGGGGCAGCTGGGTGGGGACACTGGAGCAGAAGCTGCTGGGGTGGTGGGCGAAGGTGGCTGTGTGCAGCTCATGACAGCCAGCTGTGCAGTCCGGCCATTCGGCCTCCGCTCCCTCCTCAGCTGAGTCCTCTGCCTCTAACCTTTCCCTGTACTCGTCTTGGACCAAAATCCGGCAGCATGAGCCAGCGTGGCTCACAGCAGGGCTGAGCCCAGGGAGGGGCCAGCAGCTTGCAGGCAGCTGCCTCCCGGCGCAGCAGCGCTGGAGTGAATGGGAGCACTCGCCTTGTTTGAGGAATCGATAGGAACCAGACACATTCACAAAACCAGTTAATTATATGAAACCAAAACCTTTTTTTTTTTCCTCCTCCTGCAAAGAGGGAAAGGAGGGGCAGCAAATCACGGCTGAGTCATCTTTAGGCTGTGTTTGCTGGCACACTGCAAAATCCGAGTCAACCACAAAGTGTCTGTGTTAAACCTTTGCTCTCTGGCTTCTCCTTACTGAGCATAGATGTGCTCTGCTCCATCCCCTGAGGCAGTGCTCACTGTCCCTGGAGAGGCTGGAGGACCATGCTGGCTTTTCCTCCTGTTGCTTCTGTGCTAGCCTGACCAGTGACTGACCTGCACTGCTCGGGCTCCTCTCTGTATTGACGAGGGCTTTTCTTTGCTGGACAAAGGTGCAGTTGTGTTGCTTTTAGTGAGGCCACAGCAGAAAGTTGTGAATTCCACTTTCCCAGAAAAGAGAGATCAAAGCAGTGTTTCAAAGTCCTTATTGATGGCTGTGATGGGGAGGGCTGTAGGAGAGGCTGGGTCTATTCAGGCTGGTGTGGTTTGCCTTTCACCTCGATAATTGATGCAAAAAGAATTGTGTTGCCTGAGACAAAAACTTGTTCTATTTTGCACAACAGGAGGCACAATATTCCACCAAACTGCGGGGCTTGGGCTGGGCCAGGACGCAGCAAGGTCCAGGGTGGGGTTTGAGTAGCTGGATACCAGCTTGAATGTGTGATGAGCTGTGTCAGGGTTCAGCTGGGAACCCAAACACAGCCCTGTGCCCTCAAACTGCATTTGTGCCACTTGTGTCTTTAGGCTTTTTTTCATGGGCAGTACCTGGAAGGGGCAGCGAGAAATGATCCTTGTGCAGGTGTTTGTTGCAGGATGCTCTGGGTAGAGGCAGCCCATCGTCCAAGTGAAGAAGGGGACTCCATCCTTCAGGCAGTGGCTGGAGGGTCACCCTGCAGTAACATTTTCCATATAATCATATATTAAGTGATCACAGCTTTTGCCCCTCAGGAACACTGCTGGCAAGGGCTCTGGGGCTATATTGCAAATCTGAAAAGGCCAAGTCCAAGAGTAAAGTTTAAAAATAATCATTCTGAGTGACAGAATAGCAGACTGCCATTTCTATGGTCTGGCCAAGTCTCTGATAAATGAATGTTTATTCAGAAAAGACCCAAAACAAAGGCATAGTCGAAACAGACTAAATTTTCCTTTAAAGGACTTCACGTAAAATCTTTTTATAGTATTGTGTTTGTTATTCTCTAGTAGAAGCCCTAAAATAAAACTTTTCCCTACTAAATCCAGATTTTGGTTGTTTTCTTTCCCTCGGGCAAGCTTCAGGATGTTTCGTTTTCATGCAGCTGCAATGTCTGTGTTGTTCTATGTGTTAATAGCAGAGCTGTTGAATCACATCTTCATTTCTACATCCTGCCCACCAAGAACATTTCCATAGTTCATATAGTTTTAAATGGTTGTTCTAGAGTACAAAGCAAAATTATATGTATATGTTTGACAGGAAAGAGAGAGCAGCATGCTTTAGGTTGTGTTAGTTTATTGGGAAACCTGGACTATGGTCTTGCAGGACTTCCATTCCCAACCTCCTTGCACACACATATTGCTTTGAAAAGGGAAACTTAAACAGTGAGCAGCATAGTTTTATTTTGCAAGCTCAGTTTACAAGATGGCAAACTTTAAACAAGGTGAACACATCATTTGTGGCAGCTACATTGCAAAAGTAATTAACAGTGCATGTTGGAATCTGGTTGATAACATCTATAAATATTTTAAAACCTGTTTGAGGGGAAAACTACATTCAAAAAGTATATGTATTATATTTTTGATGTGGAATTTGTGACGTGGTGGTAGGTGTCTTCTGTGTTCCTGTTCCTTGTAGTGGTGAGGCCGTTTGTGGTTTCATGGGTTGTCCAACCCAACCCAACTGCTTATCTGGAATTGATTATGGAGTGTTCAGGGAAGAGCATTTGAATGGGCAAGTGAGGCAGGAGAGCTGCCAATCTACACATTCAGTGGTTCTTCAGTGCCTTATATGTATAGAACAGAAGGTACCTTCTGAAGAACCTGTGTCCCATGGACTGTGTGTCATGGTCCTCTGGTCCTGGCTTGCCTGGCTGGAGCAGAGTTCTGTGGGGACCTGGCACAGTGTCACCTTGCGTTATTTCTGCCGTTGTGAATCATACTGGTTGTGTGGCTTAAAAAGGGCATCAGGGGATGACTCCCCCTGTGCTGTGCTCTCTGGGAAGGGTGACCATGCTCTTGGTATGGTGAGAATGTCCTGTGGGGAACCGAAGGAACTGGGTACATTTAGATCTAGGAAGCAGGAGGTTACAATGAATAGTGTGAAATCTATGCAGGAGCCGTTAACCAAACTAAGAATGAAAGAGAGCAAATGTATGAAGCAAGGGTGAGCCCAGGAAGCTGGAGTCTGAGTATTGGTGGCCTCTAGAAGTTTGAGGGCTTTCTCAGCATCCTTAGTGATGTTTTGCTGTTATATCCTGTGGTTCTGCCACGTCTCATCCCATTTCCTGCTGGCTGGTTAATGCTCTCCCACTCCAGGCAGGCCACAGGGTGTTTGGAGCCTGTAGCTGGTAGAAATTTTGACCTGTCATCATGCATCATCCAGCGTTACAGAGCCAACCAGTCCTTCTTGCCACCTCACCTCTCAACAGAGATGGGGTTTAAGGGAGCCCCGTTAGCCTTGTGGATGAAAACCAGCACTCAAATGCAAATTCTGTTTTGTTTTTCTTCCCTAATCATGTCAGTCAAGGCTGCTGAAAACCATGAATGTCACAGTTCAGTGGAAGGGCCAAATCCTGCCTGTCACACGGCCACTGAGGCGGGTGCAGCTCTGTGTGGAAAGCTGATGCTCATCCTCAATTCCAGCAGTGAACTTCAGCACTGGGGCCATCCACTGCCTCTGCCTGCTCAGAGCTCTGGTGACCTTGATCCCTCACAGCTTTGCTTTGGAGGGTATCCCTGTCTTCCGGCCGTTTCATGTAGCAGTGGGAAATAGGAAACAAAAGAATCCATATGTTTGACCTTCAGTGTGACTCAGAGCAAACGAGCGGGTGCATATGTGGTGTGACTGAGAGGTCTGAGCAGGGCTCAGTGGGTTGCCCTTGGGGTTCCTGTGGTTGGCATAACCTCGTGTCATCCCAGCAGCGTTGGCTGTGTGCTCAGGCGGTGCTGTGCCCTGGTAAACTGTACAATAGTAGAGTGGGAAGAGGGTACAGTCAAAGGGATGAATCGGAGCGAGGGGAGGTGGCTACTTTGTAGTCCCGATATCTGGGCAGGCTGGCTTGGGGAATATGCTGTGATGGGGAGGATATGCCTGTCTTGATGCTGCCTGCAGCCCTGTTGCCCAGCTCCCTGTAGCTCTGACTTGTTGCTTCTGCCTGTCTCCTTTGCTAGAGGGACCACAGCAGCATCCCTGATAACCTGCAGTTGCTGCTGGAATACCTTCTCCATGCCTTTCCCAGTGCTGTCTGAGCCAGCATGACCCTTCTCCCAGTTCTCTCTGTGCACAAAGCAGGAGTGAGGGGGTGACAAGTTGTCTGGGGACAGAGCTAGGGGTCAGCTCTCCCGCTCCA